TTAACATGTTAGCTGATTTCAGGCATTTTTTCAAACCAACCAATCTCCATCATTTTCCTTGCCAGGCCTCCCATATTTCACTGATGAATTTGCCAATGTTTGCCAGTGATTGGCAAAACAACAACAAAAAGTGAGAAACTATGGCCAACTCATTTTTCTTATCACTCAATTCAGTGATGATTATTATCGTTTTTTAGAACAATCACTGAATTCTTTGAAAGAATCCTGCCCAAGAAAATCCGCTGGCTGACTCCTCCAGGCATTGCTGGTGTTGTCCTTTGTAGAGAACGAGCAGTGCCCAGTCTCTGAAGTGACTGAAGTGAGACGGAAACGGACGACTCAATGAAGGGACTTGGGGGAATCATCCCCAAATTGGGCGTATAGAATGAACCGTTTTTTTATGGGAATAGAATGACATCCATACAATGAAATAGAATGAAATATAGTGGTTAGTAACCAAACATATCAGGTTGGTGAATCGATTTATTTTCTGTGCGTAGATTGTTTGGTATGAAACATTATGAAACCAAGAAGGTTGAACACTGTCATGAACTATGGTTGTCCATTATCATCCAATTCAGCATTGTTTCAAGAGGAAATGCCCACAATAAAGACCTGTATGACTTGTATGTTTTGCCACCAATGATTCTAACTAACCTCATTGTTGGCCATTTAGCCATAGGATTTTGTTAAATACCAAGAACTTGATTTATACATATATTTATACCTTATATTAGTGATCCCCTTATTTGATGTCTCTTTTTTGGGATAGACCATTTACCCGATAAACTTCCATGTTTTGCTGTGAAGTTCACCGGGTTCACCGCTTCCGCGGTGAACTTAAAACGAGGTCATGGTACAAGTTGCTGACCCGCCACGGGACGGTGATGAGCTACGCCAAGAACCATCCGGCCTTTTGGCGTCTGGGACAGTGGGACCACTGTGATCTCAAATTGATGCCTACAGGGGGCATCCTAGCACCCTAGTTGGTTTATAATTTAGAATAACTAAGCTAACTGTGGTCTATGGTAATTGGATAGAACATGATGATATAGATGATACAGTTATAGTTAGATCGGGGTTTCCATAAATGGTGGTACCCCAAAATGGATGGTTTATAATTAAAATCTCTTAAAATGGATGATTTAGGGGTATCACCTTTGATTGGAACCTCCAGATTGATTTATAGATCAACCATATGATCATATTAGTTGATCATTAGTTGATGGTAATTTGATATATCTTTTTATTACATGATGATACAGCTATAGTTAGATTGATTCACATTATTATCTATCAACTACATTATCAGCTATAGTATGATGGAAACCTCCAGATTGTTTTATAGATGATGATATAGTTGATATATTATGAAGTTTATAATCTATATTATCATACGTATATTTTAATTATATATATATATATTAATTATATATATTAATATTACCCTATATATATATATATATGCGTATAAATATTGTCATCTATATCAACTATATTGATTTATAGATTCAACTAATAACTGTGATGCCCCACCTATGAGGTGCCCTTTGTGGAGACCGACATCCGTCCGGGCCAAGCTCCACCCGGCGTGGCGAAGTCGCTGCAGCTCTCGGGGGTTCAGCCCGTCTCAGTGTCGCTCACTCGCTGAGGGAGATGATTTGGATGACGTTTATGGCAAGTTTATGGGGGTGTTGCCTGTTATAGATGGTTTACCTATTATACATGGTGATTTTCCATGGCTATGTTAAATAACCAGATGGTACATATATTGGTTGGTGCTTTGGAACATGAATTTTATGACTTTCCAAGAAAATGGGAATGTCATAATCCCAACTGACAAACTCATATTCTTTCAGAGGGGTTGAAACCACCAACAAATATATGTTTATGTGATCAGGCAACACGTATATGACCATTTGTCAAAAATAGTTGTTTAGAAGTTTAGTATTGGTTGTTGATAATTCATCTGGGTCTACTGTTTTTTTCCTCTTCGTTATGAGGCGGCACGCAACTAAATTCAGCAATTCTGCAAGGCAGCGCTAGCAAACCCGCTAGGTTTGCGCTAGGTTTGATTGACAGCCATGGCCTCCATGTCGTGAATGTCTTGCCAGCTTTTCTTACAAGTCTGTCAGTTTCCACATATTCCCAAATTTTCGATATTTTTTTTTACGTATTTTACGCGCTAGATCGCCGCTAGCAACGCGCTAGCGAAAATTGCAAATACATGCCCCGGTCCACCCGCAGCCCATTCAGAGGCACAGCCATGTTCACGCTTTGGTAGCTTACAGTAAGGAAACAGCGTTGATCGGGAGGCATGTCAAGAAGCATATTGCATTCAGAGAGGCACACACACAGAGACACACAGTTCAGGAGATAGTACCAGCGACAGCGAATGAAAACCGACGTGCGTTAGCCGATTCCTGTGGTTTTAGAAAGATTTCCAAAGGTAACGAAGAATTTCCACGTTTTCACGTCATCAAGGTAGGTCATGTTTTTTAAAGGCAAACATGAGGCGGCACGCATGGAATTGCGTTTTATCAACAAAACCGGGAACAGACATTTTGACAAACCGTCATATATATATATATACATTATGTTGATATATGCCATGTTCATATATTATGTACATATATGCCATGTTCATATATTATTGAAATTGATAAACCATATGGATTAGTACTATATGGTTTGGACTTTGGGATGAGTCTCTACGTTGACACACCCAAACATATGTAGCAATTTGTGGTTTAACAAACAAAATAGTAGTTGATGAGTTTAGGGAGGGCAAATGACGATATGATGGGAGTTCATTTATATGATATGGCTAGTATGAAGAGTGTTTGATGATGTACATGAGTGTTTTTTTAATGATGGTTGTGCTTGAAAATGACGGTAACCCCGGTGTATCCAGTGGTTTATCATGGTTTAGCATGGCTTTTCTCATCATCCCATGAAAATTGCCACTTCGGGGTTTACCCCATTGTCAGACACACCCACTGCCAGTAGCGGTTTGAATATTCAATGGTTTGTTCTGTGTTCGGGGGTGCGGAATGACGGTTAAATAAATTTCAGGAAAACGATATGCGCAGATAAAGCCCGAGTTTGCTGAACCAACCCGATGATTAAAATGGTTGTGCTTGGGTTTATGTGTTGTTTTTGTATGATGCTATATTATGTTACAGATCTATCTACAGTGAGTATGTTGTTAGTCTTACTGTATCACAGATCAGAGGTTCAAAAGTTTCAACTGTGTCCTTTGGGAATGAGTTGAAACTACCAACCAGATAAGTATAGACTGTAGTGGTCACTGCTGTTGTTTCTCTTAGTGGTGATGGAGTTGTATGATGTTGGGGAGAATGATGTGCTGGATCATGGTTACAAGATCTTACAATTTCAATGCTTCATGTTTGTGCGGACGTCTTTGATGTTGGTATATATATATATTTTTTTTTGGCAATCTTGTTCATATATGAATAATTACTTAGAACATGGTCTTTGATTGATTGTATGGGTGTCCCTCCAGTCAACGACTCCACTGACAGTATTAGCCAGGCCAAATCCTAGCGAGGTGAGTTACGCATGTATATAAACATTCTGTATGATACCGACAGAAGTGATGACCAACCACCGTGTCCTTTTTTCGAATTTGAACGCGTTGCTGCAGAGTGATAGTGTATATAGTGCATTTGGGATATGCGCTGATATATCACATGCTAGATCCCACTAAAGCTTTGCAGTGGAAGAAACAAAAAACATCTGTGTTAGGACTCATAGCGCGCACAACAATAATTACAAGAAAAAAACAGATTGCTAACAGCCACACACATAAAACAACATCAATTTATTGTAGTAAACCATTACCCTATGGTTATTTAACAGTTCGCTATCGAACCATGTTAAACCTGATGAGTTACAACCATGAATTTACCAAATGTTACCATCTATATTTACCTGTAGTACTTTATGGTTACTATGCTCCAACATGGTGATTTTCAGGTTTACAAATCGTATTGCCTAGCGACATCGACATCCAGGACGGGCACGATTTGCTTCGACACTGACTTCCCATACTTGACACGGTCTCTGAGCTCAGCGGATTTACTGTTGGAAAGCAGTGCCACGTGGAGCAACATCGGTGCCTGGGACCTTGAAGCTGGAGAATTCCGACAGACCATAAACATCAATAAACTACACTATGGGTGTGGCCCAGATAAAAAGGTACTGTAATTAAAAATAATTAAATCGGATGGTTTATACTAGACATGTACTAAAATCTGTCGTTCATAGGGCTGATTTTTTGACCCATACCTATATGAGCACCGACATGCACTGACCAAAACCTGGTTGAAGTGGTTATTACCCTTTGGTAATCAAACATGGCTGGAAAATCCGAATTTGATATAGGTGATTGTCCCAGCTATAAACCTCCATTTATAGTGACGTCACTGTAGAGAGGTTTTTCAATTGCCATGTTCGATTACCGTAGAGTACGGGGACTATACTATCCAAGAGAATGTCAATGTGGACTATTATTATAGGTTTATATTTGGTTATATTAAATGATATATGTATATATATAATAAATAATATCACATCATATTATATCATATTATATTTTCACCATGTTATATAATTATCTAATTATATATATACATTGTAATTTATTTTATTATATTACATTATATACATATTATTATAGTATTTATCATATTACATTATATTATATGATATTAAACCACAGTATGTCATATCATATCATATTGTATATATCATTTTGTATTATATCATACCAGTAGTACCGCACAAGGCGGTGGCGGAAGTTTCAAAAATAGGAAACCTATAGGAGAGATTGGTTGTTGTGAATCAGGGATGGCAGAGCGAAGCCGCTGATGGACCGAAAGGTGCTTGAGGTCTCCTCTCTTTCTCTCTCTTTCTCTGACTACCTACCTACTGTACCTACCAACCTATCTTCTATGTATCTATCTATCTATCGATCTATCTCTCTCTCTCTTTTTCATCTAATTACCTATCTATCTATCTATCTATCTATCTCTCTCTCTCTCTCTTTCATCTGTCTATCTGTCTATCTGTCTATCTGTCTATTTATCTATCTATCTATCTATCTATCTGTCTATCTGTCTATCTGTCTATCTGTCTATCTGTCTACCTGTCTATCTGTGGTGCAGCGTCATTCAGTGTAATGTAGTGTAGTGTAGTGTAGTGTAGTGGAGTGTAGTGGAATGTAGTGTAGTGTAATGTAGTGTAGTGTAGCGGAGTGTAGTTGCGTAGTCGTAGTTGTATTTGTCGTGGAGTGTAGTGTAGTGTAATGTAGTGAAGTGTAGTGCAAGGTAGCGTAGTGTAGTGTAATGTAGTGTAGTGTAGTGGAGTGTAGTTGCGTAGTCGTAGTTGTATTTGTAGTGGAGTGTAGTGTAGTGTAATGTAGTGAAGTGTAGTGCAAGGTAGCGTAGTGTAGTGTAATGTAGTGTAGTGGAGTGTAGTGTAATGTAGTGTAGTGTAATTTAGTGTAGTGGAGTGTAGTGGTGTGTATTGTAGTGGAGTGTAGTTGTGTAGTTGTAGTTGTGGTAGTAGTTGTAGTGGAGCGTAGTGTAGTGTAATGTAGTGAAGTGTACTGGAAGGTAGTGTAGTGTAATGTAGTGTAGTGGAGTGTAGTGTAATGTAGTGTAGTGTAATTTAGTGTAGTGGAGTGTGGTGGAGTGTAGTTGTAGTTGTAGTGTTGTGTAATGTAGTGTAGTGGAGTGTCGTGTAGTGGATGGAGTGTAGTGTAGTGTAGTGTGATGTAGTGTAGTGTAGTGAAGCGAAGCGAAGCGACATCTGAACCTCCAAAAATGGTCCGAACCCCTGGTGTTTTTAACATTTTGACTTCGAAATGTGCTTCGCGCCACAACGGCGTGCACTTTTTCGAGATCTGAACTTCCAAAAGTGGTCCGACGCTGAGGTGTTTTGCACATTTTGACTTGGAAATGTGCTTCGCGCCACAACGGCGTGCACTTTTTCAACATCTCAACTGCCAAAAGTGGTCCGGAGCTGGTGTGTTTTGTACATTTTGACTTGGAAATGTTCTTCGCGCCACAACGGCGTGTAATTTTTCATCTCTGGCTCCGCACCCGCCGCTTTAGCGAGCCTACTTTTCGACCCTCCGGAGCCCCAAATCATTGGAAAAACACAGTGTTTCGCGACTTTCCTACCTTTTCTCGCATCTGCATCTTCTTTCTTCTGACTCTTTCTCTTCTACTCTTATTTCTTCTAATCTTTCTCTTCTCTCTGCCTCTTCCCTGCTCTGCTTTTCATCTGTCCATATTGTCGGAAGTTTGACTTCTAAACTTCCTTCGATTATATTGTAGTTTATTGTATTATATCATATTTTATTTTTTTATGATATATATATATATATATATGTATAATTATTATTTCTATTATAGTTCAGTTCATCATAATATTTTATGACATATTATCTTTAATTACGTTTTATTGGATTCTGTTATGTTTTTAAAATTATGTTATGTTATAGTATTGTATTTTATTATTACATTACATATGTAGCGCACAAAATGGTAATCCGGTTCTCAGCCAACCACCATAAAGGGATCACATTTCAGGTTTTGAGCACTGCCATATAGAAGTGGATAGCCCAATAATGGAATTGGTACATGTTGTAGTTGGGTACTTACTCGGTGTATAAACTGTGACGATTGCTAGTAATGTTGTGTATTTGTATTAGTCAACTATTCGACGATTGAGAAGAGAATATGGGGGTCTGGTCAACCGTCCCAATTAGAATGCACAAAGGCGGCGATCCGTATCCCACAATCATCCGTTTTGTAGGGGGCATACCCAATTCCATAAAGCCGAATTGGGAACTGTTTATTATTGGGTTTAAGACATACACTGAATCGTAGAAGTGACGTCCTGAGGTAGTTGACTGCCCAATTTTTGGTGATCTTCGCCAGCCTCCCAGACATCTCATAATGTGGGTAACCCAATGCCAGAAACCTACCATTTGGGGATGGTTCATAGCACCCGCAAAGATAGTGATTTTATGTGATTTTAGGATATATATATATATATATATATAGATGTATATATATATATATATATTGGAGATGGTTTATCATTGGTTTCACCACATTGTCACTCTTGGTGTCATATTATTCCCTTCTGTTTTTTTCCCCGAGCAGTGGCCGTTTCACACAGGACCCATGGATTGATTGCTGATCCACGGTTTTGCGTTCAGCAAGTCCCGATTTAGTCAGTTCGATGATTTGTCCATTGAAATATATTGGGTATGGGTCAAATTTCAGGATAAAACCACAGATTGTTTAGATTATTGAAGTCTGAGTTTTTTGTGTTTTTTCAGCACCCAAGAATTGGGGTACTGTTGACCCACACCCGTTATATGTCAAAAATGGTTAGGCCTGGGATTTGCGAGCGCGATTTCTGTTGGGGATCAAGTCACCTGGTGAAGTTGGAAATCCCCAGGGACCAGAGATTTTAGGACCTTTTAGGATTTATGTTTGGCAGGTCGTTTAATGTCAACCATCTAAAAACATCCAGCTATTGGAAAACCCAATGACTTGACCCTACCATCTTTCGTGCAGAAAACATGTTTAAAGGTCAGCAGCATCTGCGCGGCCATCAGCATCTCGGAGAGGCAAAATGGTAGGTTGACTTACACGAATGGACCCAGTTGTGCTTGTTGGTTTATACTTTTATCATTGTTTTGTTTGTTTTTTAATCTAGAAATGTCACCCAGATTCGTTAGACTACTATGGTCATCTAGCTGAAATATAACCACTGGAATCGTCGACGTCATTGTAAACGGTACCCTTTGGGAATCATATCATCCCCAAATGACGACGCGTTTTTGGTGAGTGAATTGTTTGGATTCAGCCAGAATCTAAAGTTGACAACCAAAAATATGTTGTGTGTTTTGTTTGCGCTAAACCAACAAGCAATTCCCGTCAAGTTTATGGGTGTTCCACCTTGAGATATTTCAGATGAAGGAGCCTGATCGTTAGTGACACAAAAATGGCAATCAGATGCAGAATTCTGAGATTCTTCAGGTTTGGTTTGATCATGTTTCGTCAATTTAGGTATCAGAAATGGAATAGGGTTTATGTTCAGGGGGTTCACATGGGTTCACAGAGGAGTTCCTTTTCAACCAAGTTGAGTTCTGCCTAATCTGGTTGAAGCTCTTAGCCAAACCTAAATGTAATCAATTTAGCTCAGCACAGCTCAAGTTGTTATGTCAAGTGGTTTAAACCATGTGAGCCATCAAAAACACCGCTGTTGGTTTTTATACGAGGTTATACTACCTGGTTTTTTGGGAGATTAGTACCTACAGAGGATGTTTGTCATTGTTTTTCATGCAATGCTTGGCGTCAATGAAAATGCTGAATGCTTTCCTGGCCCTTTTGCGTCAGAATCCCAATGGTTTGCAACACAGCACTGTAGTCGAATGCAGGCCGCAGGCTGTGGGGTTCAAAAATAGTGACCCAGGGTTATTGTTACATTAGTTGGGAAACTATGTGAAAGAGTAAAAAAGAAATAACATATGTAGATAGCTAGATAGATAGATAGATAGATAGATATATATAATATGTATAATATATACATTTATATATATATACATGCATGTGTGGCTCCGCTGATACCCTATTTTCGAGCCACCCAAGACCTGTTTTTTGACATCATCCGCAAGGTATGCTGCCGTGGAGAATGGACAGACCCTGGTGATGCTTGGTGCATGGCCCTCCAACGAGTTATCAAAACGATATGGAAGTCCATGGTTGTTTCAACCAAGGGCAACTCAATCCTTCAGTGCAAGTTTTCCAATATGTTCATTTACTGGAGAATAAGATATCATATTGTATATATATATACATGTGCTATGGCACGGTTTACATTGTAGACAAATGGGAATTGGAGAGTGAAGGTTTACATTGGGGAATTGGAGAGTGAAAATTATCCTTTTCAGGGCAGAATTTTGGTCCCCACTCTCAGGAAGTGTACATATAACGGCTACACGGGAGCCATCAGTCCACATGGGACACTTGGCAAAAACCCTGAGAGGGTGTGGCAGGGGCCAAATCACTAGAACGTATTTTTAGCTGGCAGATTGGTTTTGACAGATGTGGATGTTTGGTTTGTGGTTTGAATGCGCGAAGCCAATGTCGTTTAGCACAGACATTTGCTTGGTTGGTTTTGTGGCTGGGAACACAACATTTGTCCAGCCACGAGTCAAATGTGCTAGTCATCTCAAGCCTATCACCTTTTGTATTATATATATATATATATAATTATAACTGTAAACATATATAGAACTATATATATATAACTATATAACTATATATATATATATAACTATATATATTTAACTATATATATATATATCTATATATATATATAGAACTATATATAACTATTTTTATACAACTATATATATATGTAACTATAAATTAAACTAATAATTTAAGTATATATTTAAACATATATCTATCACTATATATATATAACTATATATATATATTTAACTGTACATATAACTATGTATATATATATATATCTATATACACATGCATTGCTTAAACATACTGACTGAATTGATTGAATCATTATTTGGTGTGAGTGATTGCAAGCATGTGCGAACGGCCAAACTGGATTGCCGAAGAATCATTGTGACCAAATTTCTCGAACAGATTGCAAGTCCCTGTAGCCTCCCATTGTTCAGCGGAAGAATTAGATATGCAACATCTAACAGCGTTGCTCCCCAGTAACCAGTACATGTGATAGGATGTGATAGGCACAAGACAAGGCAGACAAAGGTGGACAATTCTATGTTTACCTTACCCCCTTCCCCCCACCGTGGGTGACCTTGGGAGCAATGTGGGTGTCCTCCAAGGGCCATCGTGTACCAAGTGCCACAGACCACTGGTGTGGTATCTTTCCAGCTACCACAATATCCCAAGTTGACGGTCTTCCCCATGTGTCGCGGCAGCAGCCAAGTCTGTCATCAGTGGCGTAACTTTCAGATCGGTGGAAAATGTGGAATAGCTTCGAATAGGCACATGCTTTATATACTTGGATTGTGGAGCCAGATTTCAACGTCATTTGTCATTTACTTGGTGGTCTTGGTGATTCAAGTTTTCTTGGGCATATTTTTTGAATTGTGCTTATTGTTCAGTCCTGGAATGATGATCTCCCCATGAACTGCACGTGCTTTACGCGGGAACCCGGGTGTGTTCTCCACCAGTCACTTCGTTTATCAGGCTTTACATGGTCTTCGAGGGTATAGTAGGTGCGTCCTCTTGGGGAGGCCTCTGAGGATTGGAATGATCTGATTATCCAAGTGGGTCCTTGAATTTCTTGAGTCGGTGAGTTTTATTTAATCCACTATTTGGGGAATGTAATGAGACTATGTTCTTTTTGTGGGGCCATATTAAGCAATTCAGGAATATAGTCTTGGACACGTCAAATATGTCTGAGTTATGATGGTCAAAGTGTTTGGGACAATTGGTAACCCTAGAAATCAATTGTGATCGCCAAGAGATCTTTGAGTTTCTTCCGTGCCCCATACTATCTATGGCATCTATGGGTGGCTAATTTGCCTGCATTAATGGGCCATGTTTGGGGTACAAGTATATAGGGTACTCCATAGTACTCCCAAAACAGAAAACACATACGCCACTATGTTAGAATCAGACTTTACTAAGCGTTACTGTATTTTGTTGGGGGTTGCTATGGGTTGCTATAATACATCCCCATGATTTCCCATGTTCCCACAGGACTTGCTGCGTGCGTTTGGATCTTGTTAGCCTGTTCGCCGCAGCTGAGCACTCGATGGTCGCCTAGCGTGGGGAAGATGAGGAGAACTGGTGGTTTCAGTAACCATGGTCAAAACATAGGGGTCTGGTCATACCCCAGGAATAGTCGTTGTTATGTTTTTTGTTTTTTATATATAAGGATTTCCTAATGATGATGGGATGCACCATGTACCAAAATGTGCCATGTTTTGGCCATGGTACATGTGGATTTAAGCGTCAAACATAGGCATTCAACCAAGCCACATGGTGATTTGTACCAGTAGTACCCGCACCTGGCGGGGCGGAAGTTGCCTTAGGGTTATACTATAAGACCTCTCTCATCTATAGAACTTGCATGCGCCGTGCGCCAGCCAGGCCCGTGCGTGCCTGCTTTGTGCGACGCTGTTGCGGTGTTGTTACCATTGTTGTCCAAGAACATGACCTGCGCGCGACCCCGGCGCAATGCAACGAAAAGCGAACACTTTCTTCACACTTCACGCTGCACTCTTCACACTTCACACTTGCACTTCACACTCCACACTTCATCTCATCTCACCTCATCTCAGCTCTTCTCACCTCATCTCACTTCATCTCACCTCTTATCATCTCATCCCATCTCTTCTCACATGTCATCTAAGTAAGTTCTTCTCAGCTGTTCTCACCTCATCCGAGCACTGATCAGCGTATCTCCTCGAAGTTCTTCTCAACTCATCTCAGCTGTTCTCCACAACAGACAGCTCTTACTCTCAGAGAGAAGTCCCTTGCACAAAAAAACATTGGGCGCAGAAGGCTTTTGCACACAGAAGCTTGAGACACAGGTGCATTTCCACAGAAAAGCCTTTCAAACATACTTTGTAACACAAAGCTTGCACAAAGCACTTCCCAGTACTACTTTGTACTACAAAGTACTTCCCAGTACTACTTTGCACTACAAAGCTTGAAGAAAGTACTTCCCCGTACTACTTTGTACTACGGAGCTTGCACAAAGAACGTCCCAGTAATACTTTGTACTACAATGCTTGCACAAAGCACTTCCTACTACAAAGCTTGCACAAACCACTTCCCACTACTACTTTGTGCTGCAAAGCTTGCGCAAAGTACATCCCGGTACTACTCGGTACTACAAGGCTTGCACAAAGCACATCCCACAACTACTTTGTATTACAAAGCTTGCACAAAGCACTTCCGAGTACTACTTTGTACTACATAGCTTGCTCAAAAAACGTCCCAGTACTACTTTGTACTACAAAGCTTGCGCAAAGCACGTCCCAGTACTACTTTGTACTACAAAGCTTGCACAAAACACGTCCCAGTACTTCTTTGTACTACAAAGCTTGCACAAAGCACGTCCCAGTACTACTTTGTACTTCAAAGCTTGCACAAAGCACGTCGCACTACATACTACTTTGTACCATTTTGTACCACAAAACTCTCACAGGGCAGGTCCCAGTACTACTTTTTTACTACAAGACATGCACAAAATACTTCCCAGTACTACTTTGTACTACAAATCTTGCACAAAGCAAGTCCCACTACTGCACAAAGTTCTTGCCAGTACCACTTTGTACTACAAACCTTGCACAAGCCACTTCCCACTACTACTTTGTACTACAAAGCTTGCACAAAGTACGTCCCAGTACTACTTTGTACTACAAAGCTTGCACAAAGCACGTCGCACGATCACTTTGTACTACAAAACTCTCACAGGGCGCTTCCCAGTACTACTTTGCACTACAAGACTTGCACAAAGCACTTCCCAGTACTTCTTTGTACTACAAACCTTGCACAAAGCACGCCCCAGGACTACTTTGTGCTACGCTTGCCCAAAGTACGTCCCAGTACTTATTTGTACTACAAACCTTGCACAAAGCACGTACCAGGACTACTTTGTACTACAAAGCTTGCAAATGTCAACAGAACATGACAACAATCATGCAGCCATTACACTGCGATCTGCAACCAAAGATTCAACAAGCGCAAAGACCTACGCACAACCACTCATTGCAGAACACAGAGGAGGAACCGATTGCCCATCGTCACGATCGGACCCGCAACCGCCGCACACACGAGCTGCTCATCATCGCCGGCTGCATCCACTTCACACGGAAAAACACAAGGTTTCGTGCTCTGGCTTTCTCCCCAACACGAGTCCTATGCAACATCCGTGCAGCCACACTAGAATGCATTTTGCAGCGCCATGTTACAAACGCGCATGTATATATGCACATGGCAACAAAACATGACAACAATCATGCAGCCATTACAATGCGATCAGCAACCACAGATTCTAAAACACCTTAGAACTACGCACACGGGACGAACCAAGCATTGCAAAACATCATCAAGGAACCACTCACGCACCAAAACGAACGGACCGCACCCGCCACGCACACGAGGTACCTTTCATCGCTGGCCGAAGCCACTTTATACTGAAAAACACAAGGTTTCGTGCTCCGGCTTCCTCCCCACCCTTCATGAATGTATTGGTATGTGATGTAAAGTCTCACACCGCCCTTTGTGAATGTATGGATATGCGATGTAACTCACAGCGCCCTTCATGAATGTATTGTTATGTGATGTAAAGTTTCACACCACACTTCATTGAGTAAAAATCATCCGTAACTCGGAAAATTGTCTCCCAACTTCCTTTGATTACCCACAAATGGATTACTTTGTTTGGAAATGGGGTATCCCGGCAAACTTGCATTTTACTAGCGGAAGTGATGATAAACCATGGGATTTGGGGTAGAAATAACTTTATTTAATATGATATATATATATATATTATGGCAAGTGTGGCTTATTAAGGTTTATTCAAATGAGATTTCACATCCCGAGATTCCCACTAAAGTTTGTGAAGAAGAACGAAAACACGATAAAACATGCATATAAAAACATAAAACGTAGGAATCTCGGGATCTCTCCAAAGCACCCCAACTTGGGATTCCTTACCATCGGTAAATCATGGTGAACTGTTCAGTAGCCGTGTGATAGGCAACATGAAGCAAACTAGTTCAGTTAAAGCCCTTTCCCAGTTATAAATAGAGTTAATTTTAATTATATAACATAATATACCTAGCTTATAACTGGTACAGGGTCATAACTTCATAAGTGTACGAACTGTAATTCACTTCTGACTCGCCGGCTGGAAAACTCAGGTTGGGTCGATGCCACTTGCTCCCAGAACAACTTGGGGACGAGTGGGAGGTCCCACAAGAAGAACGACCCCGAAATGCCACATAAATCGTAGCTGTGATTACACATTTTCACTGAGAAAATGCATGTTAAGTCACCCATCGTTCTCATTTGAGGACACGTTTGGCCCCCAAAAAAATGACAATGATCAAACTCCCCCCTATGAAGTGACATGGCATCGTTCTCTCGCACAAGAGGCAATCGTTCTCACGAGAGCAATCGTTCTCACCAGAAATTCCTCAGTGGAATTCGCAGAACAGTTTCACCCCAAAAAAGTGAGAAGGAGGATTTTTGAGAAGAATAGGTCGTGTTGCATTTTTCAGGGGAGTCTAAAACAACTTTGCGCATTTTTCTCGAACAATCGTTCTTTAAAGCATCGTTCTTCTCGAAAATCTGCGTGCAAAAATGGACAAACAGAAAACCAGCAGTTAGTGTTGAGGAGTTGACATCTGGGGTCGGAGGATAATGGGGACTATGGGCTGGTGAAACAAAAGTGAACCTCTGCAGTTTCTTTGGGCAAGGTCAGTATCCCGCGAGTAAGACTGTTGAAAGCATTTGACACCATAAGACTTTGGATTTCAATGTTTGATTAAAAAACAGAAGTTGAAACAGCTATTCGGAATGGGCAGGGTTGGATTAGAATATAAAACAAAATTGCCCCGATGCGCGTTGCTCAGAGTTTGTTGTTTCATATGTTTTGTTTTTTGGGGGGCCAGCTAGCATCAGGATTTTTTTTGGTTGATATTAGATCATAATTTTTGAAATAACCATTTTCGGGGTATCCACTATCCACCTATTTGGGACAGAATCATGTATGTGACGCATGCGTACAAATTAATTATTTACATATATATATATATCCTATATATATATATATATATTAACACTTGCATAATAAAACACATACGAATAGACCTTCAGAAGTTCATCAACATACAGAAGTTCCGTTGCTTCCAGTGAGGCCATTTTTTCCCGAATGAAACTGTTCTGTTGGGAACAATCAACTCATAGTGGGATATATAACCCACAAAGTTGTGCAGATTTATAACCAACCATTTTATGGGGATCTTGAGGGAAGTAAAACCAACTTGACATGATACGTGGGATCGGTACCTGATTTGTTTATCTTCGTTACAAAAGATATATAATTCGAATGAAGATTACGAGTCCATTTCATGGCAAAATATGATAAAATATGTGGATCTGATCTTGGGGATCTTGGGAACAATGCCCGAAATTGCCCTCAATATTTCTGGAACATCGAAAATATGCCTCTGGTAAATGTTCAATGTTCCTATTGGGTAAATTTTCTGGAAGGTCTATATTTCAATAGGAACATCGCAAGGAACTGGGTCAGTGGACTCCTCCGTCCCAAGGCCTCGCAGTCATAGCAAGGAGGTGGGAGTCATTTCTGGGGACTTGTTAGGTCATCGACGTTCCCAAGTTGTTTGTCATTCCAAATATGGTGATTTAAGATGATTTAAAATATATTCATATATGAATATGTACATGCGATATCATGAGATATCATGAGATATCATGAGATAAGATTTAAAGCCATGCGGGGTGTGTGCAATCCGGCAAGCCAAGGATGAGGACGCATAGACCCTTTGTTGTGGACGAGTTGAGAAGGGTATAGGGGGGGGGGGTCCTAAAATCGGGATAAGTTGGCGTACCCCCAAATCATCCACTTTAATAGTATTTTCCATTATAAACGATCCAGCTATTGGGGTACCCCCATTCATGGAAACCTCCATATCTAGGTGCTCATGATTTTTCATGCGCAGGCTTTGATAGACAACCTACCCTGATGCTGATCAACAGCCTGCCCAGCAATTACCCCACGAAGTTTAGCTCTGTTGTACAAGTTCCTACCCCACAGGTAATTTAACATAATAGTTGCTCGTTCGAGTGGGAAAATGTCATTATATAAAGAATGGGAACATTATAACATAATAGTTGCCCATCCTGCCAACACTCAACCAGGTTTTTTTATCCCAGCAAATCGGTGATAGCTGGCTTTTCACGACTGTGCTGGACGAATCCATGATTGAGATGACAATTCCCAACCCTCAAGCATTGGATTGCCTCGTTGTTGATTTTTTTGAATAGATTTTTCGATTATTTAACATACTAGTAGCTATGGAAGAAGGAACACCATTTTAGTCTGGTAAATCATCAAACCAAATGGGTCATTTAAGTACCATAGCCCATAGCTGTGTTAGATTAACAGATGGTACATGATTCGTCCTGCATACAACCCATTTGGAAACTCACTGAGATGTCTGAAAAAATAGTCAGTAAGGGCAATCATCCCTTAGAATCACCCTGTTAGGTTGGTGAAATGTTACATCATGGTATTATTATCCTAACAGCAAATATATATAATTATATATATAACTATAAGGGAAACATATGGGGACATCATATACCTTTTTGTTTATATTGGTATAATCATCTCCATATTGACCTTATTTCGTCATATATATATATATATATCATTATATCCTCCAGGAAATCAACATGGAAATGAGACAAATCACATGGTTTTCCTGGGACATAGCAATGTGAATTCTCCAAGTTTTCTTGGCAGGTCATCGGCAGGCCCAAAGTTTCAGGCCTGGTCCGGGTGAATTAGTGATAACTGAGGCATTGTATGTTGGTCTACTACAATGAAGCCGATTAACATACTGCATTCACTATGAGTAATGCAACAGTAATATCTATGAGTCAATTATTTCCATCATCTTTAAACTTCTGAGCTGTCCTCCAACACAATCTAATAATCCAAAAACAATGATGATAATAATAATCATATATAACTTATATAACAGCAATAATACCATGAACATTTACGACAAATGAACCTCCGTAGGCAGCTATTTTAAATCTTCACCAGCCAGGGTGTTGATCCATAGGCTCCATAGGTTCCAGGTTCCACCAGCAGCTCCAAGGAGAAAACTTTAAAACACATACCATTTGGTTATGACTAACATAGCCATGGAAATCACCATTTTTACATATTTTTACTAGGTAAACCATCTATTTCTATGGGCCATTTTTCATGGCTATGTTAAATACCCAGAGGGTATCTACCAGGTTGAATCTACGCATGACTGAGAGAAGCCCGTGCTTTTGGTGGCAAACATGGTATTCTGCATCTCCACTCTAGTGCTTTCATCTAGCTGAGCCTGCTGAGCCCTGAACCTGATGATTGGCTAGTGGGTCTTATATACCCTCTGGTAAACTAACATAGCTATGGAAAATCACTATTTTTAATGGGTAAATCCACTATAAATGGCCATTTTCAATAGCTATTTTGACATAACCAGAGGGTAACTAGTTGTAGCCCATTGCAAGTCCCAAAAAATATCAGCTATGACATGGAGGTGTCGTGGATGACCATGACGACTGGTATAGGTTAACCCATGATGACGGCTGGGCATCCCCCAAACATATGGCTCAAAATATGCTACAGTAGCTCCATTTTAGGGTCCTGAAATGTCCACTGATGATATAAATCTTATAAATCTTAATTATGTCTTAGCCTTTTTGGGATTAGATATTCCATCTATGTTCTTCAAATTCACATATATGCTGGTCGAGTAATAATAATAATAATGGGGTTGGTTGAATAGCCATGTCTTGGGCCAAACACCCCCGAAATAGATTGATTAGATACCTTGCATGGTTGCTTCGAACATCCATGATCTTCTTGCTTACATGACACCTTATTACAAGTTACAGTAGTTACCCAGTGTTTAAGCTTGTTGGTTAAATTGTCCAGTGGGCTACAACCCCGTGTTTGTTGGTCAAAAACTAATTTTCACTACCCAATGTGTGCTAAATTTGAGTATGACATATGTAGCTAATGTAGCTAAACAAAAACTCTAACAGTATCTAACAGTTATATATTATTATATATATATATATTTTTAGATGTTCAACCCCTAAGAACTGTGGTTGTTGGTGAAATCTCCCTATCGCCGTGTCGCTAGGCCTTGAGCTGCGTCCGCTGCCGAGCCTCCAAAGCCTTCCGCGGAGGTGGTGCCCCAGTTCGTTAGCTAAGTTGGTGCACATAATTCCCATTTCACTATGGTTTATGGCAGATATAACGAACTAGTTAATGGGGATTATAAGCCGACTTATAACTGGGGGGCACCATCCTGTGGTTTAATGGGGATTTAATGGGGGATTTCATGTTAGTTTAATGGTGATTTAATTGGGTTTTCATGGACATTTATGATAACCAATGGTGATATATTTATATATATATTTGATATAGTGGGGATATGATTGGGATAGTGATGGTTGATGATTGAATGGGGGTTGAATGGGGATTGAATGGGATAATTATAGAGCCGAGATGAATCGAGAATCTGATCATATCTGATCTTTGGGTGATGTTGATGTGGATTGTTAGTGGGGATGTAATTACAATCACCAGGCTGTAAAATGGGGATAAGGAAAATGAAGACGAACTATCAAATTTGTGGCTACCCTATTCTGAGACAAATCCAAAAATCCTATTGATGTTGAATCGTGTGTGAGATCTTTGAAGTCTGAGTCTTTATCGTCATGTCATTCGTTCCTTAGACGTGGTTGTATAGTTTAGTTGTAGTTCAACTAGGTTCCGTGCCACAGACGGTAGTGTGGAATTGTTGCCGATGTCGAAATCACAAAATAAGGTTTGTTGGATGAGTCCATGTATTTGACAGTAGAATTTCAGCCATCAGCATTATTTTGGTAGCAGGATCGTTTGAAAATCATGTCAAGTTTGTCATGTTGGGAATTTCAATCATCTAGCAAATTGTTCATTGATGACATAATATATTATATTTATTCAATTATTTCCAGGCTTTTGTTTGGATTCTATATCCCAATGGTGCAGCCAGCTGAAAATTACTAGGAAGTAATGTTTACTTGGATGGAAGAGTGCAGTATCTTACAGTGATTTATAATGATTTCGAAGCTCCTACAGACAGAAGAAGATCACTATGTTTGGCAGCCCGCATGTATTGATCAACCATAATTAGCTGAATAAGTTGTAGAAACATGGCCCGACAGGCTTGAAGTATGGGACGATTTCATGGCGTTATGAAAACATGTCCAAGTATCCAGATAGCATGGTAGATTCCTCTCAAAAATGAAACACATGTTCCCCTGTACAAAGCCACTCTAGGAAGATACACTTGTCTATTGAGATGAAATTGTTCGTGGATTGCAGATGCATACTTTGATTATCCAGATAATCAACCATATTGTCATACATTGTCTATGAGTCCATAATATTGATTGTAAACATATATACTGTAAAATATTTTATAATATGTTTGAGGGATTTATCAAAATAGTAAGAATTTGTAATTTCCTTGACCATTTGGATAATATGATAATATGACAATGATTCAGTTGCCATTATCATAATTCCGTGCATGCACCGTTCCAGACTTGAGATGGCAATCTACACAAGGTGGTGCCCCCTAGTGATCAGTTGGTTTATCACTTTTAATCCATCGAACTAGAATTACAATGACCATAAATCCCCTTTAACTTATAGTTTGTTCAACCAAGTTAGCTACCTATGGTGCACCACCTTGTATGTAAACAAGAACATAAATATATATATATAATTATGTATATATACAAAATGATATATATATATATATACACATAAAAAGTGTGTATATATATGATATGATATGTAAATAATGTATGAACGATCAAGGGATCATTTCTTTCTCTGTCGCCCTTTGTGCATCGCGCTGCCAGCCGCCAGGATCTTGCCTCGCTGCTCCGGATCTTCGCTGGAGTATGACATACGCTCGGAGGCGGGAGCTGGGAGCTGTGTAGGATGCTGCCCCCGTTCGATAGCTAAGTTGACATATAAGTGGCTGAATTCTATGATATTCTATGGTTTATGGTAGATATTTCATGAAAACTATAGAGAACTATAGTAAATGGGGTTTATAAACCTAACTGTAGAGGATTTGGTGTTTACCCTTTGGTAAACTAACAGTGTGCGAACTGGAAAACCACATTTTTTTAAATAGGTCAATCAACGAACTAAATGCGCCATTTTCAATAGCTATGTCAAATTACCAGAGAATTATCATGTTTTTTTCATGAGATAATTTTGGATTCTATAAGGATGATAGTGGGTTGATTGAAATTATATGATGAATCATTCCGAACGTGGATACTCTTGGGATGATCATGAGAAACCCATCCCCGGTGTTTTTTTTGGGTATCTTTCCCCACACGTGGCAAATCATGAGCCAAATAACCGTCATTGTTCGGGTTGAATCTGGATGAACATGATATGTACAAACATAGGAAGAAACAAATTGTTCGAATATGTGCTTCAATGGAGATGTCACCAGTGCAGACCAAACCTTTAAATATTTGGAAATGTTCAACAAGTGCCCCCCATTTGGAGTCATCCGCACTGACAACTGTGGAGAGTTTTGTAGGGTGAAGCGAACTGGTTGGGTGCAACATCCAAATTATATATTTTCTTCAGGATTTTGGCACATAAAGCGACTTTAAATCTCTCGATTGCAACGTTTCATCTCACCAAAAAGTGACAAAGAAAACCATATTCAACAGGTCAGGCTCAACTAAACTGCAACTTAATCTTACAGGTCACTGAGTCCTTGAAACAGTTTTTCTTGGTGAATGCCGAAAGTGAATACAAACTAAGGATCTAGATTCTAAGTTTGGGGTTGACCGTGGATACCAGCGAAAAACATGTGTGATGTTGTATGAAAAACCAGCCAAGATGGGATTTTGGTAGCTCTTCAGCACCACTTCAGGAATTTAGATTATAACATATTATAACCCAGTTCTTTGCTCCTTTCGTTTTTGAAGGAGTGGGAGGCGGAACGCCCCCACTTGCGGCAGGGTGCCCTAAGTGACAACTGATGATGGCGAGCAGTGAACAGGTTTTAGTTTGACAAAGAAAATGCGGATTTTTCAATGATTTGAGGCACGCAAATGAAAATGGGATTTCATACCTGAGCAATCCTGAGCATACTTTTATTTTTTACAAGCTTCACAGGTTGGGCTGACGACTGTGATGACTGTGCTTACGACATGACATTTGTGAGCATGTAGTAGGATGATAGTTGAAGTTACTTGAATGGTAAATTGGTAAGTGGAGCATAAACCAATCACTTCCGAACATGATTGGTTATACCACACCTCATTTCATCATTCGACTAACTGACTGGGACCATCCCGTTTGACGAAGGATTCCGAAGAGATCTGTCTTTGTCCCCAATGTCTTCCCGCAGCTTCGAAACCTTTCGAGTCCTCGAAAATCGATGTTGTTGTTGGCTTCATGGTCCAGAAGACCAGCACAGATGCCCCAAGTAGCCCATAGACCTGGAAGCAAGGCGCACAAACCTCTGTTTGCCCAGTGTTTCTATCTGTGGACACCATGAATTAGCAGTTGTAATTCGGGCAATGCCGCCAATCTACGCGGGTTACAAGCCCCACAGCTGAGGTATGTGGAACCTCTTCACCTAGGCGTGGGATCGCGCTGCTTTCAGGACACCAACATGAAAATTGTTTCATTCCAACGTCTCAATGGGAGAAAAACATCTAAAGACATATTATATATATATATTTATATATATAACAATATATTATATATATATTATAATATATATATATATTGTTATATATATTATATTATATATACTATATTATTTTATATGTTAGTATATATATTATATTATATATAATAATATGTATATTATATTATATATTAGTAAATATTTTATATTATATATATTATGTTAATATATATTATATTATATATATTATATCAAATCATATTATATGTTAAGACATTATATTATATTTTATTTTTTTTAATTATATTATAGTTTATTATATTATATTGTATTATATTATATTATATGTTATTATACGTTATTATATTATATTATATTATGTTATGTTATATTACAATATATTATAATATATTATATTTTTATAATATTAAAATAATCTATTATAATATATATATATATATACAGAATTATGACGGTGCGTTTGAATCATGTTAAATCCATAATATAATGTTAATGGGTAAATCAAAACACTTAAGATTTCCATGCAAAAATGGTAGAAGATCAGCACACCCCCTTTGGATGTCCTCTTCGGATCCACAATGACACCGCAATGATCAGCGATTTAATCGTTTACCTCTCAATGAACAGGTATAAGTGTTGAAATAGTTTATTTAAGCAATCAAATGAGGCTGAAATCATCAAACTTGGTACTTGAGAATCTGTTGAAGGTTTATAAATGAGTCTGACATTTTCTCTGAAATTATCAAGTTTAGCGCTTTGTACTTAAGAATCTACATTCAATACCATCCGGTGTCATCAAACGTGGGTGGCTGGACATTCCCTGAACTAGCCTTGGAGTGTTAGTTTGCTGGGAAAATGAACAAACTAAATGGATCTAGGGTATACTCACTGAATCCCATGGAATATCCCATTGAATCACAGTAGTGAATAATATTGAATATGTATAAAACAAATCAATAGTTTCGATAAATCATCAAGCGGAGGTTTAAAGCTGGGAAAATAACCAACTGAATGGATCTATTTTTCATTCACGCAATTTAACTCTCATTCGCAATGAATCATATGTTTTAGTGGTTTCCATTAACAAACTCGAAATCCCATCATTCACAACATTCAACAACTAATGGAAAACACCGTATATCAGATTACCTCCAGGCCATGGCCCTGCAGCAGCATGGGGCACCTGTGGTGAGAAGGCCGGCAGGGCGCGATTTGCAATGCTGCATTCACGGAAAAAGTTGGGATTTTACTATGGAAAATCGAGATTTTCGAATGGCAAAGTGGGATTTTACATGATTTGACCATCAAGAGTTGTAGGACGTGACCATCAAGAACTGATTTTTCTTCCGTGAAAGATGGACAAAAATCTTGGATTTGGGTACTGTCATCTTAACGATGGATCCGAGGAGAGATGAGGTAAGGTTCTATGTTCACCCAACATTCGGGAACTATCGAATCACGATTCACGATGTGGGAGTTTGAACGGAATGAAATAGATAGATTAGATTGGATCAGATTTTAGATTTATATCAATTCTGTATGAGATTTACATCAGATCGGTAAGCAGCTCTTGCCATCAGACCATCATATCATTTCGAACAGATTCTGGGAATTTCCGTGGGATGGTCCGATCGCTGGATCATCATTTCGGAGCGCCGATTGCAGATGTCTTGCATATCGGATCATCGTAGAAAAATATCACAAAATAGATGTATCAAGATATGGCTAATATCTTTGCTGCTCTGTACTGTTCTGTATTTATCAAGATATGACTAACATCTTGATAAATCTATTTTGTGATATGGATTGCGGAACAGTACAGATATTAGATGATATTAGTCAATACTAGTACATAGATGATTCTACCCATTATAGACCTTTGCCACAGATAAATGTGCAATCTACTTATCTAACATTCTAAGTCTATAGGTTATGATGACCCCGGTCAATAAATGGGGTTGTCTCAAAATCTGGAATCCAAGAGCCTATGCCTTATCACCACTTTCTTGATGAATGGCCAGAAAGACCAAGGTAGATTCAATATATGGGGTGGTTCATGGGTACTACATCATTCTATTACTACGATAGTGGTGAATCATGATCTATACCAAAAAACCTCTGGAGAGACAGACAGCAGGATAGGTATTCATAGATTGAGAGGGAGCAAGACAGCACCATTGTGGATGGAGATGCCAACTGGTATAGCTCATCATTGATGGGTTCTGTTTTTCGTTGATAATCTGTGATCTACCTACATGGTCCAACAAGGTGCATATACTTTCTATAATTATACATACACAACTATAGTATAGATATGTGATATATATATATATATGCTAGCCCACCCAAAAAAAGCTACCTTTTGCTATCTTGTAGCCAGTAGCTTGCACTCGAAACATGATGCCTTGTGAAAACCTGTGTCTTTTCAGCAGATATGGTACAGACAACTCGACATGTAAATCCACTTTGCAGCATGATTCTTGGCAAGTTTCAGCATGAACAAGTTGCAGAAGCAGGTTTGCAAGCCTCAGACATGTTTGAACATTCTTTTCACATGGGCTCACTTGCATGGAATTGTCGTCAGAATCAGAAGAGGATGAGGATGAGTCGGAAGACGATGATTTGGCAACCTTCTCCTCAACGGTGGACTTCTTGTCTTCGATGGCCAGCACCTTTGCGTCTTTGAATTCCGTCTTGTCCTTTTGTCCTCAATCGCCAAGGGCCAAGGGCTTGGCAATCTTCGACGAGATGGGTTTGGCCAGCAGTGCCTCTAGACGTACTTGTGCGCGTGGGTTCCAGTCGCCACTGGCTCCACCTGGTAGGAGTAACATGCGTTGCACGTTGCCCATGGCATTGGTGATCATTTTTTTGGTGATAGGCTGGCGTGTAGGATGCACTTTGATGGTCCCTGCATCGATTTTGGCTTCGATGTTCTCAGTGGTGGGCCTACACATTTTGACTTTTGCCTCAGGTGTTGGGTCGGGAAGAGTCAAAGTCAATGTTGCCTGACGTCCCTGTACTTCTACTTGTCCAGCCACAGGAAAGGAGCTCATGTTGCCAAGCTAGGAGGATTAGAACGGTCTAATCGGAAATGCTATATTTGAGATGCGTGCTCGGCCGCATAAGTATTTCAACCCCCCATGCTGGCTCCACGTCAACCTAAATGATATTCTTAAGACTGCTCAACCTTTACAATATGAAATAGCAGCTCAACATTGTTTTAAATTAGTACAAATTACACTTAAGACATAGGCAACCTTTTCAATATGACATGCTAGCTCAACATTATCATAAGTTATACTTAAGACGTAGTCAAGTATTTCAACCTGATATGCTGGCTCAAAGTCAACGTAAACGATACTCTTAAGACTGCTCAACCTTTACAATATCACATACTAGCTCAACATTAGTATGAACTTTACTTAAGGCATAGTCCGACAGGAAGAAGCACTAAGAGGTCCTAGGACCTCCTTGGAACCAAGAACCAAGAACCAAGATTCCCCCAAAACTTTCTGTGCAATCTTGGTTCTTGGTTCCAGTGAGGTCCTAGGACCTCCTAAGACCTCTTGATGCCAGAACCATCATGTCTCACAAATTTGTCTACATCCACGGTTATATATATATATTATATATATGGTACTCCCCCTCGAAACTATGTCCAAATTTATTTACAAAAACGTTGAAAATAGATCCCCCAAAATATGCAAAAAAAACACTGTAAATACCAGTAAAAATAGTAAACATGTAGGTTTTTTGTGGGGGTTATCTATATATAATATACGGTGCCTGCTATTATATACATGTGCCACGGTCAAAAGATGGTTTGCTGTATGTCTCCATAGTAGGGTACGGTCATCCCCTCCGTTGATTCCAAATATCATGATGTGACATGGGATGACGTGGTTAAGGCTGCCGTGCAGCCTTTGTTGGCCGAGGAACCGCAGGTTGAAGCTTGCCAAGAGAGCGCCACCTTGCAAGGCCATAGACATTGGGGCGGTTGACCATCAGACATGGGGAAGGTTTTACCGTCATTAGAATATCATGGCGAAGGGGGATAGAATGGGATATGTCTGACATTGACTAAGTTGATATAGCAACGGAAATCCCAACTTTACTGGGACAAACAAGACGATATACGAGAAACATCCAGGTGAAACAACTGGAGGGCACGTTGAATATCAAGTATTTTGCTGGTTAATTCAGTGGTCATTTCAGGTACCATATTCCTGCAGCTACTGTGCCAAAAAAAACATATTTTGGGGATACATCCTCCATCATCCTCTGACATAGCCATACATAGCCCTTACATAGAACTGTAGACATATATATATATCTCTATATAATGATTGTAGGTACCTTCAATTTAGGTTCCTGACATGGGCTGATGAAATAACACAGCTGGTGGTGAAATGGGCTGAGGTGAAGAAGTCACCATTTCGCTGCCGGGTGATGTGAGGGACCCGAGATGACCGGAGGGGCGGTGGGACCGGCCAGGACCAGCCAGGAAGCGGTGGCGGCGGTGGCTTTTCAGGCACCAAAAAATTGGGAGTTGACCAAGAACATGGGATTTGGTCCACACAAATACGATGTTAAAACGTGTTTGAAATTATACTATCATTGGGATTTATGGAGGTGACGATCATGGGGAGGACTGGGTAGGTTTTCCAGGGAAATTTGACAAGAAACCCTTTTAACATTATCTCTCCTGTTGAAAATGTTTTATTGGTTCTTTGATAGATCCTGACAGGCGGTATTGTTGGTGGTTTCAAGCCCTTGTTCCTTCCATCCACTTGATGTGATCGCCAGGTGATAGTTAGAAGGCAACCCCTGGCCCAATGCTGACAATTCCGCGGGAGTCAATTTTAACCTAGCCGTTGGGCAAAAGAAAACAAGGGGTTTCGTACTTCTCAGCAGCAACTGTGGGAGAAGTGGCAGAAATGTACGCTGTGCTTTTGGAATTCACATCCTGGCATGCTTCCGATGCCTGCTGAACTCATTTTTGGGCTTCAAGATCATGTCCGCAGATGCCCACCAAGTAAATTGATTAATTACAGATAGATAACTTAGTTGATCTATGAATGTGCCAAATCCATCCAAATCTCAATTTCTTCGCATGCCAAGTCAAATCCCCATTGTTTTGGGCCCAGGGTCCCCCTTGCCATTACTTGCCTCTGCTTTTGGACAAGTTATTCCTGAGTCATGGATGACGAAGCTCTCTACGTAATGGAAATCCATCAAACTTGCTGTTTAGCTATCTTTGGCTATCCTTACCGGGAAGTCATCATTGACACCACTTGAACAATTACCCGAATAGCATCTGCCCGTGGCATAACTTAGGCCTTTAGCTTTGCAGAGGCCGTCGACACGCCAGAGGAATCGCACGACCAGTGATTTTCATACCCAGTAGTTTGGATTGTTTCAGCAGCTTTTCATGTCAACTGCTGATTTGGAGTTTGAACAGCAATATACAATTAGTATCAATTAGTAGTATTATATACTGATAATGTAAACTTGGTTGTGTTGTTATTACTGAGAATTTTCGGAGGAGATTGGGAAAAAGGCCATTGCTTGATGTCAAACTACCGTCAGCAACAAAGTTTGACCCATCAGGGCGAGGGAACTGTCGCAGGCCAGGGGAACCAAATTCATTGGTGGTTTGGTTTTCTTCAACCACACTAGGATGATTTATTCAAAGTCTAGGACGAACAGACTAACAGGTTCACTGACTAAGAGTTTTCGGATGGGTTGAAACCACCAGCCAGCTAAGAACCAGTGACTAGTGATCAATATTCCATTTATGGATATTTATAGATTAGCAGGGTTTCAAAGGCTTTCACAATAGAGCCCGTCTTGGACTGGCCTGCGCATACGCATACATAAACGGCTTCAAATACGCAAACAAAACGCATATTCCCGACATATCCAGAATTTGCGGCTATTAGTTGTTTTCTTTATGTTTTGTTTGCGTTTCTTTTACGTAAGCGATAAAATAAGGCCTTATTTGCCCAAAATAAGGTCTTATTTTTCTCCCGACATAAATAAAACATAAACCATATACACATGTACATACACAAACGTTACAAAATGTGTTTGCGTTCTTGTTTTGTTTATGTTCTCTTTACGTGCGTTCCAAAATAAGGCCTTATTTTGCGTGATTTGCACAAAATAAGGTCTTATTTTTCCTCCGACATAAAAAACACATAAATTCACAAACGTATACATAAGTAAAACATAAACACAACGCAATCCAGTCCCAAAATACGTTAATATGTCACATGTATTTCGCATATGTTTCACATATATTTCACATACGGCTCACATATGTTTTCACTTGCGCTGCACATACGCTTCACATACGCATCACATACGTTCCACCAACGTAAAAATTTATGTTTCATATGAGTTTTACATATGTTTTGCATGCGCGGCCACTTAGGATATGTATACGTGCCCCCTCGTCAGCTCCTATAGACAGAAACCCTGGAGGCTTTTGGGATTCAGCTAATTTATAGAGTTTTTTTTCCAACTGTAAACTGTAAACCTCCATTTACTGGGGATTTTCCAGCGACAGGATGTTCTTAGCGAACTCCGCAGTTGGAGACCCAGTTGGGAGAGCTGGTTTGGCACAAACAATGATTTGTTCACATATTGTTTTTTTGGGCAGTGATGCATTATATATGATTATATATGTATGTTCTATACTGGTTGGTGCTTTGGAACATGGCTTTTATTTTTCCATATATTGGGAATATTCATCCCAATTGACGAACTCATATTTTTCAGAGGGGTAGGTCAACCACCAACCAGTTAATTCTATAACTATGTTTTTGCTTATACATGCAATGATTCGACTATGGAAAGGGAGCTGTTTGGAACACTTTGAATTGCGAAGACTCCTGCTGTAGTTGAGGAAAGTGCGCCCAGTGCACATTCCAACCCCGCACCGTTGGTTATGCACCCGTCAGGAAACTACGTCAAACCAATGCTACGTTCCATTAAATTATGCACTGCTTACATCACCCTTTAGCAGTGCTGGTAGCATCTCAAAACCCACAGATTTCGGAACAAGGATCTAACCAGAACGGAACAACCTGCACCCAGCGTTCACTCTTGATGCAGAAGGCACAACCCAGCGTCACCAATGTGCACACTGCATACTGTTTCCAGGGTCATCGGGTATGGATCCATGTCGTGGGGACATTCCAGAAGTGGCATGATACTCATACTCATGGTGATATTTCGAGGGTCCCTCAAAGTGTGCAGGAACTTTCAGTGACATTTACATCCAAGTATATGCAAGTAAATCTCTTACATATAATGATATTTGATATACATCTATTTGTTATACATAATTTGCATAATATATTAACATTTTAGTTTTTTTCATGTATTTATGTATATATATATATAGCTATACATCTATCATATATTCTTATATATGTCGCATATATACGTTGTACTTTGATATATTTATATATAGATACATAACAATATATATATATATATACACATAGTTACAAACATATATATATATATACATAAATATACACATATAAATATATACATACATACATACATACATATATATATATATTCATACATATATCATACATTATATGTTGTTTTAATGATATATACCTCGATTTCCCCCGTTTTTGCTGCCAGCCGCCCCAGGTGCCAGTGACGACTTCGAGGACGTCGTGGTCGAAGAGTTGGACGGCGACGCTGGCGACGATGAGGACGAGGCAATGCTGCGGTGGTGAACCCGGTTGCTGGACCATGGCGAACCAACAAAGATGCTGGATTTCTAGGATTTTATGTAGATATGATAGATATATAATGATATATAGGATTTGATCATGAAACATTCGGATGTAGATGCGATGTATGTCAATTAAGTTGGTTTGTGTACTCAATTGTTGGATTTATGGATTACGGATCAAATGATCAACAAGCATAGCTGGGGGGGCCAAACATTGTAGACAAGTATGATGATAAGTTATCAAATAATGGGTTCCCCCAACCTGCCAGCTCACCCTGCAGCACTCGACGTGTCAGGACAGGGCGCTGGAAACCGAAGCAGAGGACAACGTGGACGAAGGCGCTGCAACCCGGGATGGTTGACTATACAGTGGTTAGGAGGAGTGGTTTGGAGCTAGTATAGAACTTTCAGACTTCCTCAAAAAATGGGGAGCTAAGGAGCTAGCAAAAGTTGCTCAACCAAATGATAGTCAAAGTTTATTCTTTGAAATGGAGAGGCTGTCGTTGTATACCCCAGCTTGGATATATGAATGAATAATGATGGCTTGGCTTGAATGAATTGGACATATTGGATGACAAGATGAACCTTTGCAAAAATTGTCTACATGTTTGGATCGTCAATGACGTAACATCCCTCTTTTTTTTTTCGGACCTACTGTGGCATGTGATTGGGATGGCACGTTACCATTTTATACGGATCATGAAGGGATGCAGCAGGATAGAACAATCAGGCACTGCATATGGGAGGAAATCATAGTAAACACCACCAAATGGGCAATATATGGCAATATTATTACTGCTAGTATGTATTATTCTTATTGTCAGTAACAATATTATTATCAAGAATTGTTACTATTGTTGTATATGTCATTACTGTTATTATCATGAGTATCCTTTGTTATTATATACTAGATACTATTTATTATAACTAGATATACCTAGGCAGTTCACGTTCACAAAAACGCTGCTGTTCACCGCAGGGGATGACCTGGACTTCGCCAAAGATTCGGATAGCGATCAACCAGGAGCAACCCAGGAGGACCGGGACCCGTCACTGGGATAATATGTGTATACCACTTACCGGGTTCTATGTGTATATACTATTAGTTAATATTCATTGTATGTATACACTATACATCATACATTTTACATTATATATAATATAAGATATCCGTATATATTATATACCCTAGGCATAAGTAAATGCAACGATATGATAGAATTTGTCATCACCACATGTTTGAAGCTGATTGGATGCACATCCAAGCGGGAAATAGATAATGTTGTGAGATTTCTTCGAGCTACACAAGTTTTAGTTGTTGAGCCACGCATAAACATAAATATGCAATGTTATTTGTATCATGTATTATCTATTATTTTGCCATCTCTCTATTTGGTATCTCCCTATCCAAATATACGTACAGCCACCCGAAGTGCTAAATCTTAAGACTTGTTGGTTAAAGGATCCTTTTGGACCCTCGGCCAGAAATTGCGGCTGAAATGTCAGCCGTTTGAAGCTTTAGGTATAACTCTCATAATATTGTGTAATAACCCGGTATCATTATCTGCCTATATCTACCTATCGAACTAAGTCTAACTAATTACTAGCAATTATTTCTAATTAATACTATAATTAATACATATTAATACTAATTACACTTAGGTCTTGGAAACAAATCCCAGGATTTGTTCCTTCCAGCCATAGGACGTTGGCCAATGCGACGAGGCCGTCGAGCTCCCTTCGGGCGCCGAGACGGGCGTGGAGGAGTTGCTGCTGATGGATGGTGCCCCGGACGGGGCCCCGTCCCACGGGGCCCCTGAGCTTGGAGGACACCTCGAGATTTCACCAAAAAACCCTGGGAAAATTGCGATGATTGGGATTGATTGGGATTTACAGTGGGATTTAGATGGATGTAGTGGCATTTAGATGGATAGTCATGGGATAGTCATGAGATTTTTTCTGCGTTTTCAAGTCACATTTCACATTTTTTTCAACATAGAACAATAACAGTGTGAGGTCACTGGAATGATGGGGGTAACCATCCCTTAAAATAGCCAATTGAATTGCTCCAGAAGTATAGCGATATGGGACGGGATATGGGATTCAATAGTTAACCAATTAAGAATGGTGAGAATTGGGAGTTAACAAAATTAGCCATCTGAAGAGGAACTTAAGTGTGACTTAAGCATATTCAAACATTGAGCACTGGATTTGGGTGTGTCTGAAAATGGTGGAGTTACCCCGAAGTAATGGCAATTTAAGAAGGGACGGCGTATCATTTTCAGACAAACTCATATGGGTCAGAATCCGTGTTGGATCTGAATTTTCTCAGCATTTTGATTGCATTTTGTGGCCAAAAGGCAATTGTTGTACAGGCGCATTGCCGCTCCAAATGCTGAGACCCCCAATGTTTGGGAGAAGATGAGACCAGCCTCTTCTTTGAGACCAGCTGGCATTTCATGGCGTCATGGTCGATTGGAGAGACCCACGGAAGTTAAATGGCGCGTAATTAATAGCTTATGAGTTTACACGTCATCATATATCCATATTTGATTGCTAGAATTTGCATGTTCCAATGTTCCATTGTGAGTTTTCCGTAGGGGCTAGGGCCTAAGGGCAATCTGATGCGCAAGGTACAGAGCAAGTGATCATCGTCAAGAAGAAGAAAAAGAAGCGGAAGAAGACACTGTACTTGAGATGGGCATGGATCAACATGTCCGTCCCACAAACCCAAAGATGTTGCTTATGTTGCCAGTATTTAGCGTATGTTTTGTTGGTATGCACCATTGCTCGGTCATTTGCTGGTGGTTTGAGACATATTTCTATGTTCCACCTCGGTTTAGGATTATATACAGCGAGCATATTTGGGGTTGGCTCATGGGTTTGCCTAAAGCCAACTTTTCTGGAAGCTGACCCTAGCATTGCCTCAAGCAAACTTAGGGGCATGGAGTTGTATAACATCGTGAAGCATCATCATAAACGAAGCAGCTATTAGTGATGAAATTACCACCAATACATACCAATAGAGCGCAACCTCCCACTTTCAAGTCAACGGTAGCCACAGATTTCCCTTCCTGTTGCACCACTTTCCCATTACCGAACATGACATCGCAGCATCTGCACGCTGCACCCTGAAGCCCTGTGGCCTCACCCCACAAATCATGTCAGACATACGCAGACTCAGCTAGCTATTTTAATGGGGACAATGATGACTGACCAATGGATTTAGGATGATTTAGGATGATTTAGGATGATTTAGGATGATTTAGGATGATTAGGTGCGTCAAATTGTCAGTCCAACCCAGACATGTGTGTGTGTGTGTGACAAGCCAGTTATAGAACAGGCCTGTGCATAGCTTGGACAGTCTTGACACCGGTGTATGACCAGTGTAATTCCATATACTGATCCACACGTATATGATCAGGATTCATCAGGAAAACATCCCAACATGCCATGTCGTTTGTTCATTTTGGGTCCGTTGGAAGGGATCAGAGTTTGACTAAAACCAGTCAAACCAACATGTTTTTTTTATTTCATTGTGTTTTTATCCCTGCGATTTCCTATGGGATTCTAATCCCCAACTGATTGCCCCAACGTGCCATATATTGATATAATATGTGTTGAAACAGTTTGAAACTTCTAGCCATGACCAGCCAGATATATGTTTGAGCGGCCATGGGAACAACCATTTGAGGAAGCGAAAGAAGAGACAAAAAGTCATCGAGGAAGTCACAGCTCCTTGTACTGAAGTCACCACGAGGTGAGTTGGGTCCTTGGCGGAAGCAATGGATTTTTGGTCGTAAAGCCGCAAAATCTCTTTTAAGATTGAAAAATATGGAATATGATCTATAGTTGTTATTCATTATCACTCTGTATATCCAAAGAAAATGCTTATGCAGTCTTATACACATACAGAAAATACAGCAGTACCTGGCGTAGTGTAAGGAAGGAGCTCTTCACTGATGTGCCAAAATTAGATGCCAATATGGGGATGAACATCTCGTGCGTTTTCGACATTTACTTTTCTGAAGTAACTCCCAGAGAACCAAGATTTTCATGCAAACAACACATGGGTGTGGATCACATCTTTACTTTTTACATGCTTTATATTCTGCTGAAAATGGCCGGAGCCCATGCCCATGTCATTCCACATGATCGGTGCCAGGTTTCAGTAGCCGCGGCCTCACAGCCACCTCACTGTAGATGACGGCTAGATAAGGGAAACCACCCTTTTTAGTGTGGCTCAGGTTTTGGAATTATGAGAATCACCTTGAATCTATAGTTGTATATGTATGCTATCATTATTTTTGTTATTTCATTATTATCATTATTATTTATTTTATTTGTGCAAATATGTATGTATATATATATATATATCCTTATAATACACATAAATACGTACACATCCCCACGCTTCGGATGATCCAAGACTTGCTCTGAGGTTGAGAAAAAACCTCCTGTGCCGCGCTTTCCGCACCCGACATCCTCCTTATCGTCGAAGGAAGATGTGTCGTGCGCTGGCAATGCCATGGAGCGCACCGTGTCCTCCACATCAGAACGGGTACCGTTGCGAGAACGTGACTGGGATGACACCCACAGATGGGTTCGGAGGGATGCCCCCTTGATGCCATTTGAATACGGAAAATGCTGAGAAATCACAGGATTTGGGGTTCCTTGTTGAGACAACTCCAGATGGGGGTTATGTGTATGGTTTTGAAACATGTACTGTATATAATTGTTTAGGATACCCAATTGCATCAACTGACTTCAATGTTTTTGTTTCAATCCTGAGATCGTTGGCAACCACCAGAATCCCACAGCATAACTAAAGTCTGTGACTAGGACCAGGGTTCCGCCCCGACGATGGACGTGAAGAATCCTGAAGCGATCACATCCCATGTGAAAATTGAGTGTTTTTTCCAGTACTTACCGATGATGATGATGATGATGATGATGATGATGATGATGATGATGATGTTCATGATGATGTTCATGATGATGTTCATGATGGTTTTCATGATGATGTTCATGATGATGATGATGATGATGGTGATGATGATGATGATCATGATCATGATGATGAGGAGGAGGACGACGACGATGTTGAGGACAATGGCGAGAATGACGAGGATGGCTAATATTAGCAGCATATAGTATTGATATAGTATTGATACTACGGTGCTACTATTAACATAACAATTATTGGACGTAGCAACTTAGAATGATTTATCCACAGTTTATTGTTTTTTGTTGTGTTCATTTGTGTTTCAGGGGAACCAACATGTGCCGTATTCCAGTCCCTGGGGTTCTTTGGTTTCCTAGGCATGGATTCCTTCTACTCTGCAGTTTCCCAGTATATTTGACATGTGGCATAGCGAATGAACGCTTCCACCATTTGGTCAAAATCATTTGTCAGCTGTTATATAATTATTTTCCTTTTGCACTGGTGGTCATTCGGGTATGGCTCAAAATGTTCAACTTCCGAACATGACTTGCGTTCTATTAAAGAAAGATAAACTGTTTATTTGTTCCATGGGTGCCATGGGTACCCTACTTTTGGCCCAGAGCCAGTTGGAATCGTCACCTTGGTTTGCCTCAGAATGAGAGATAATCAGTTTGAATATGCTGATATGGTATGGTATGGTTACCAGTGTGCAACCTTGTATGTTTCATGGGTAATTTGAGGATATGGTACTGATTAGATGTCATAGTGGCATAATGTTTTATAAATATGGAAAAACCAGCCATTTCACTGAATTCACTACAGTGGCTATATTTAAATAGTTACGTCAATAATCTCAAAAGCCAGCCATTTAACTGAATTCACCGTAGCCACATGGTCACAATAATTATTTACCAAACTTTCCATAGTTACTGTACCATAGTTACCAATCTCAAAGGCCAATAGCTAAATATCTGAAGGATGTATATATATATATACACACACATTGTGATAATTGACCGAAGGAAGTTTAGAAGTCAAACTTCCGACAATATGGACAGATGAAAAGCAGAGAAGGGAAGAGGCAGAGAGAAGAGAAAGATTAGAAGAAAAAAGAGTAGAAGAGAAAGAGTAAGAAGAAAGAAGATGCAGATGCGAGAAGTAGGAAAGTCGCGAAACACTGTGTTTTTCCAAAAAAGTAGGCTCGCTAAAGCGGCGGGTGCGGAGCCAGCTGGCCAGATGAGAGATGAAAAATTGCACGCCGTTGTGGCGCGATGCACATTTCCAAGTCAAAATGCCAAAAACACCTGAACGCCGGACCACTTTTGGAAGTTGAGATGTTCAAAAAATGCACGCCGTTGTGGCGCGAAGCACATTTGGAAGTCAAAATGTACAAAGCACACCAGGTTCAGACCACTTTTGGAAGTTGAAATGTCGAAAAAGTGCAAAGCACATTTCGAAGTCAAAATGTTAAAAGCACCACATGTTCGGACCACTTTTGGGCGTTCAGATGTCGTTTCGCGTGGCAGGCGCAAGGGATTGTGCAGCGTGTCAAAAATGAGCAAAACGTAAGGGTTGTGTAGTATTTCCAAAAACGATGGCAAGCGTGGGACATTTGAAGAGGATCTGGAAAGATGCATTTCGCATGGCAGGCGCAATACAAGAGACATGTTCATCAGAGATGTTGGGAGGTCCGGGTGCTGATTTTCTGAGAGGGGTTGCATTTTGGAGCATCACGTCGTTAGTTTCGGGAAGATGATTTTTCCGTGACAGGTGCAGCACTTCGTATGACCCGGCATCACTTTTTCGTGGCAGGCGCAGTGCTTTAGACAGGTGGAATGGAAAAATCGCAGAACGCCTTGATACGAGGCCATCAGCTCTGCACTCAACTTTCCATTTTTGAAGGACGTCTCGCAAGAATTGTTTCGCTTTTGATGTTGTCAAGTTCAAAAATTGACGAAGTATCGTGGAGTTGTTCGTTTTTGATGTTGTCAAGTTCAAAATTGAGGAAGTCTCGCAGAATAGCTTCGTTTTAAATCTTGCAGGCAGATAGATGGATAGATGGATAGATGGATAGATGGATAGATGGATGGATGGATGGATGGATGGATAGATAGATAGATAGATAGACGACTACAACTACACCTACAACTACCACTACACTACACTACAACAACATACTACAACTACAAATGCAAATAGATTACGGTATATTACACTACACTAATTACATTGCACTACACTAAATTAAATCTAATTACATCTAATTACACCTAATTACATCATATTACATCTAATTACACTACACTACACTACTTACACTACAACTACAACAGCAATAACGACAACAACAGCTGCTGCTGCTGCTGCTACTGCTACTACTACTACTACTACTACTGCTACTAGTACCACCACCACCACAGCTACAACTACTACCACCACAGCTACAACTACACTTGCAATTACGCTACATTAGGCTACTCTGCGCAAATTACACTGCAGCACGCTACAACTACAACTACACTGCATTACACAACACTACACTACACTACACTACATTACAACTACAACTACACTACTTCACAGCACACCACACTAGGTTACACTACACTATACCACACTAGAGTACGCAACAGTACAGTACACTACACTAATTACATCACACCACAACTACGACTGCAACTACACTACACTAATTACACTACATACAACTACAACTCCACTACACTACAACTACAATTACAACTGCACTACGCCACACTGCATCCAGGAGTTGTGGTGGGTTACCTCTGCAACCATTGCAACCACTCCAAAAATCACAACTCCAACCACTTGTCGGTCCATCAGTGGATTCGCTCTGCCATCCGTGATTCACAACAACCAACCTCTCCTATAGGTTTCCTATTTTTGAAACTTCCGCCACCGCCTTGCGCGGTGCTACTGGTATATCACCATAGCTGCCATTGTATCCTATAGTAAATATATGTATAGTCAATGTTAAGCCCATAGTTCAATATCATAGAATCAATTAGTTTCCACTGTACCATAGTTTCCTTAGTTACCTCAATTAACTATAGTTACTATACTAATACTATAACACCACATTTACCACTTAGTTATCACCATAGTTACTAGAGCTATCATAGTTCAACATCCATCGCTTCAGTTCTCCCAGGTTTCGCCAAGCACCTCCTGCTGGGTCGCTTCCCGAAGCGGAAGTCCGGCCCGGTGGATCCGCTGGGCGCCGCAGATGTCGCAGATGTCGCGGATGCCAGTGCTGAGGCGGATGACGAGGCGGGAAATTTTCGTCTAAGGGCGGTTGAGATTATATATTCATACAATAACAGTGTCACCTGACCCAATATTATATATTTAGCACCTGACTAATATTTTATATTTTTATATTATCACATTTGTATACTGTTATATCTATAACATTATATATATATATTTATTTAATTATTTTTATATATACATACAGTTTAATTATAGATAGATGAATGTTTGGATTAATGTATGAATAACATGTGTAAAAAAAAAGTAGCCACAACCTATTGTTTACCTTTCGTAGAATAGATATCACAGACCATGAAATGGAACATGTTATATTTTTGGGTGTCTTTGATGCGCACATAATATACATGGTGGGATCCCCTTGTTCCCGAATAAAAATAGATCGACATTGTTCGTTTGCTTTACAAACAGCACAGGTCATTGGGGATTTTTTATAGCCAATGTAGGGAAACCTATCAACGGACTAGCATAATGAGATCGGATAGGATATAGGGGTATT